TTTTCAGGTAAAGCTAGTATTCTAATTTTGATTACCAAATGTGTCACAATATTTTTGAAATACATTTCCTAGAATAATTTTTCCAATAAAACTGAGAAACAGAATGAAAAATATGTGGCCATGCTTGAGAACCTATCATTTGACTGTATTTCAAGTTTAAAATGGAACAACTGGAGACAATTATTACCAACTAAGGACTCTCAGGTGCTGACAAACTGTCACCTTTTCCCTCAGCAAACGGGGAGTACAGTGTCCCCAGATTTTATATTTTTGATATGTAGTATCATTACTCCAAAATTTCTACTAATTTTTCCGTAGAGAAATAATATTTCTTTTTGTCTTTGTTATATCTTGACCTTAAAATCACTGTGGTTATCTTCAAAAGGTTATTTAGGTTATTGTTTTCATTGAAAATATTTGTCTTACTCTAGCTACTATTTTGGGTTCTGTATGAAGAAATTATTTACCCAATTCTGAAAGAGTCATCAAAAGCTTATCTGTCAATTAGTTCCTATTTTCAGTTTTGTATACAGTTCTTGAATGATTAAAATATGTGATTTTTTAATGTGGCTGCTTTCTAAATCTTATGTAGCCCTTCTATATTTGTTATTGTAGAAGAACTTATGTTAAATTAGCTTACTATTCACATTTGTTTTTGTTTCTGTACTGTTTTATTCACCATAACATTGGAGGTGCAGAGTAATTTGGACTCTTTGCCAGACTGTTTCCTCCAAGTATCCATGGATGAGAGAGATAATGCATGTAAAATACTGAGCAGTAAGTCCGACACACAGCAGGTGCTCAGTGAACACCTACTTATTATTACTGATTGTTAACTGTATTTTTCTCACTATATCACTTCATCTCCTTTCCCTCTTCCCATTTTCCAGCTCTCCGTTTCCAGTTATTCCTAAATAATTTGTTTGAATTTCAGCTAAATAAGCATTATTTCCTTGCCCACTTGTCATCTTCAGTTGTTCACTGTTGCCATGCAACTATAAAACATGCTATCTTTAGTTCCAGGGAAAACTGCTCATGGTTTAACAAATCCTGTGTTTATTTTCTCCCAAGTATTTGCTTACTGGATACACACATAACTGGGGTGGGGGAGGGGAAGGGTGTTGAGAGGGGTGGGCAATGTGTGTTTCTTCAGAAGTCCTAATGTTATATATTGTAATCAGAGGCTACATTTGCTAAGAAAAACAAGTTAGCAAATTTATCTTCTGATTCACTTGATGACTACTTGTTTTCTCATAAACAAGTTAATATTATCGCCTTTGGCAGAATAGAAGGTGATATTAATTTAATCCTAGTGTTTTTTTCTATGACTTACTCACATTTGACTTTATCATTGATACTTTTAGGCTGATAGAAATAGCAAATGTTACTGAGTGGAAATACTGTAGATCAATAATCTGGGTTGAACTGTAAACCTAGATATAAAGTGAAGACTTAATCCTTTTCATTTATTGTAGTTAATTCATTTATCTTAGGTAGTAACAAAGGTTACTTTATTTTATCCAGTCGTATTTCCTGATATTTATTACATACATAACGCTATGTGAGGATCTGGAGAGGATACCCAAGAGGAATATGAAACATGGTTTCTACTGTAGGAATTCAGAATAAGTCACCCCAGGATGTGCCTCTGTGGTATGTGGATTGTTTTGAGCTAAGGCAACCAAGCCCCTGCAGGTTCAAGAAAAACTTCTGCCCTCCACTCCCCACCCCAGCCCAACTTCCTAGAAGAATTCAAATTAAGGACCTAAATAACCAACGTATTTTCATAAAGATCCGAATAGCCAAGTTCAAATTTACAGTTCATCAGAGCCACACTGCAATGTAGAGAGACACAGGGAGAAACAAGTTTCTGCCTATAGCCTATCCCATTCTTTCCTTACCCAGCGCTGTTCTGTGCCCCACTTCCCCACGGTGGCAAACAGCTGCTCCTGGGCCACCCCACAGGCATACTGTTGTGCACACCAGTGGTGCTGGCTGCCTGGACCCTGGGAAAGTCTGTGCAGTTTCTGAAAGCAGGGAAATCCAGGATCCTGGGTATCAGAGCACGGTTTAGAAGGAAGAGCGTGAGTTCTGGGTGGCCATGCCCCCTCGACCCTGTGGATTCCATACCTTGTAGGGTTTTGTGCAGCTGAAGGAGGGCCGGAGCAGGCACTGCTTTCACTCAGGTCTAAGGGTAATATTCAGTCAGGCTATGTTATGAGTATACCTTCACTACCACCTGGCCAATCCTTTTATTAAACCATCACCCAATATTTTTAATGTGAATGTACCATCTGTTTCCTTCTGTGACTATGGCTCATACAGCTGATTCCTTAAGTGAGATTTACAGTAAAAGTGAACCTGATGTAGGCCTTGAGGGAAACTTTTACTTTCTAGACAGGGAAAAATACTATAGAAATTAAAGGAAATTGAAAGACTATAGAATGTAATGTTCCCACCCTATGCCAATACCTTTGCCCCATTTATTTGATATTTTGACACAGCTTAAAGGCAGTCTTCTCTATGAAGTTTTTATTAATTTCACACCCTCATATTTGTTTAGTTGTTGATAATGTACCTACCATGTACACTATGATGATTCACTTCTCTTCTGCGGGAGACCAGCTCCTGCAGGTCTAGGGGTTCCCTCAGGTGGAGGCGGGGTCGGCGAGGAAAAAATGGAGGAAAAGACGCATGGAGACACAGGAGCGCTTTTTCAAGAAGAGAAGTGTCTCACTTTATTTTACAGCATCCCCCTTTTTATACCGGGCAGTTTAACCATTGTTCCATTAGTATCAGGGTTTTACTTCCTCATAATTCTTATGCTCCAGGGTATAGCTATACCTTTTCTATGCTAAAGACTAACTTATCCCAACTACGCCCAAATCCCTCCACCTACAATGACAGCGACCAAGGCCTGAGCCTCTACATAATCGCCTAAAGGATGGTTACCATGACCACCTAACATTTATTCTAAAAACTATTGTCTAAGCAGGATCTTAAGAGTTACAGGGTGTGTACTTTGACCTTTACTAAGAGACTAGTAGTGTGACTAAAATCACCTTTAGTGTATAAAATATAATTATTGTGATATATCTATTAGAAGGGCTGTAAGATTTTTGTCATACTGGGGGGCATCCAAAGGGGAATTTAAATTCTTTAAGATACAAAGCAGTATCTGTTTCTCAGTCAGAGCTTCAGGATTTGTCACAATTGCAGTGCGATTGGCGATGTCAGACACTGAGGTGCACACAGCTCCCGGCAGTCTTCCCACTTTTCTTCAATCCAACTTCAGTGAGCTTTTTATTCATATGCTATATTGTGAAGTTATTTGGCTTTCACTTGATGGGATTGTATCATTTACTTATTAGATTTTCTCTACTCTTTTCTCATTCGTGCAAGACAATTCAAGTGATACTGTGTGGTGCTAGAGCAATCATAAACACAAAGGTAAATTCAAGCCCTGAGATCCTGTAGCAGTATTTCATTTTCAAGGGAGCAAGGACCAGAATATGAACCAGAATATGTTTATATTCATCTTTTAAAGTCACAGTAACATAAAACACAAAATATTTAAAGATACTCTAAAAAAAATAAGACTCCCTGCTTCTCCGCCAGGACATCTGCTAACCTTAATTTGAGAAAATAGATTTTCAGGACTGAATTGATGTGAGAGGTGAAGGAAAAGGAAAAAGCTTAGTGTGATAACTCAAAGATGTCTGGTTTGGGCCACCGGATACATGCTTCTATTTACTGAAATTAGGAGTAAAACAAAAAAGATGCTTTCAGGAGAAAGGATGAGTCGGTACAACCTCATTGTCAGTTTCCTGCAGTACATTCCCTTTCTGGTATACTGAACTGTGGATATAAATCTGGAGGTCAACAACAAAAACACCAAGGTCAACTATTGAAACCAAGAGACTAGATGTGTTCACTCAGGGAGTGCATGCAGAGTAAATAGAGAAGATGACCAAGGAGAAACAGCCTTGGAGAACACAGCTTCCAGAGAGGAGCAGCTTGCAAAGGGCTCCCCCTTTGCAGGTAGGGAGGTCAAAACAGAGGCTTGACTTAAGAATGAAATGGTTAGTGGAGTCAGACACTGTAAAGGTCAAGATAAAGACTATAAAAAGTTAATACTATCTGAAGATTAAGAAGTGCTGGCCACAGTTAAGAGCAATTTCACTGGAGTGTGGGGGCAAAGTCTGACCAGAGAGTCTAAGAGTAAAGGGGGAAGTGAGGAAATGCATCTAATAATTCGAGGGTGAAGAGATCAATCAGATCAAGGGTCAAATGAAAAGAGATTTCTTTCGAATTTGGAGAATGAAGGTGGGTGGAGTTACAGACAAGGGGTGGGGAATTTATGGGAGCTCAGAGGTCACACGGAATGGTCTTAATTGTCTCTGTAGAATAAAAAGCAGGGTCCTCTGCAGAGACCAAGAAGGGTGGAGGTGGAGCAAATGACTTGGGAAGAGTGCTGAACTTTTGGGAAGAAAGCTGCCCAGGACAAAGTAAAAACGATTACTGAGAGGTGCAGAGGGTATTTGAATATGAATTTAATGTATCACCCAATTAAAAACTTTTCTTCCCATTTCTGCCCTGTAGGGTGTAAGGTGCAGAGAAGGCAGATGAAGGTGAACTTCTAACTTAAATTCATATCCCCAGTGGCTCGGACATACGGACACGAAGGCGTGTGTCCAGTCGTGTGATTGCTTACCACACGCTTATGAAAGGCATCACAAGGTCAGCGTGTTTGTACTGTAGCTTCAGCATCCCAGGCTTTTAAGGAAATCCAGCCAGTTTTAAAAGCAGAGAGCGGTGGGGATGGGGAGAAGTCGGGCCATGAGGTGCAGGAATGGGTACAACTTTCCTTATCTCCAGATTCATCCGGAGGAAGGGCAGATGGCTGCCCCGGGTCCAGATGCCGCTCCTCTGGGTGGAGGAAGGGGCCCGGCCCCGCGCAACCAGGCGGAAGCGCTACTGCCATTGGTCCAGCCGCGGCTTTTACCTGCGCGGAGCCCGGGGGCCCCGGGAGCAAAGTCTGCGGCGCGCAGCCAAAGAGGCGGCGGTTGGCATCGCTGGCGCGCCCCCGCCCTGGGTCAGGCAAGATGCCCCTGGGGCTACGGATGAAGAAGAAAGCCAAGTCCAAGGAGACCGCCCGGCTGGTGGAAGGCGAGCCGGGGGACGCGGGCGGCGACAGCCCTTCGGCGTCCCTGGTCCCCCCACGCAGGCTGGTTTTCCACACGCAGCTGGCGCACGGTAGCGCCACCGGCCGAGTGGAGAATTTTTCCAGCATCCAGGAGCTCTACACCAAGATCGCGGAGGTGTTTGAGATCTCGCCGTCTGAGGTAAGGGCCCGGTGCTCAGGCTCAGCCTCTCCCGCCCTCTCCCTGCCTCTCCCACGCGCGGCGCCGGCAGAAATTGGCCCCGCTGGTTGAGCGGCGCTGACCTGAGCCCCTCATTGGATGCGGCGGGTAGCCCGCCGGGAGCTCCCCTGGAGAAGTGACAATGCCTTACCGGGAAGGGAAAAGGAAAGCCCTAGGACCAGAGAAAGTCGCATTCCCCATGCTCAGAGATCCGGCTTCGGGGAAGCCGGGGGCGACCTTTCGTCCTCAGGCAAAGCATTATGCTTTTGCAGTCCGGGATTCAGCCTTCCGGGCCTGAGCGCCTTTCCAGAGTCCAGATCTGGCTGGGCGAATGAACACCCTCCACTTCACCAGGACTTGACCCTCCTGCTTCCTCTGCAGGTGTGGGAGGGCCACACTGAGCATCTCCCAGGTTCAGGGGGGCGGGGGCCCGAGAATGAAGTGCCTTCGAGGAGATACCAAACCGAGGTCCGCTTTGCCCCTCGTATGTCCTGACCAGCACCAACACCAGAAATCCTTTGGTGGTATTTCCAAGAAATTTACTATATCAAGGATGGGTAACTTAGAGAGCTATAGATATATACTTAACTACGCGGGACTAGTTAACATTTTCACAGGAAAACACCAGCTCTAAATTTTACACCACATCCTTGAAAACGTACTGAAATTTGCCTTAATTAGATTGACTGCATGTGTGCCTGGAACTGTGGAGTTCGATATCGGCGTGATTTTGAAAGCACTAGTTTATATGGACATATATGTGTCCACTTCCTTTACGCTTACACAAAGGAACTGCAAATGTAGGTATGAGAACTTAGCCCGAGAAAGTATTTTGTAGGTATCTCAAGGAAAAACACAACACCTTGTTGTCCTGGACTCCCCAGTGCAGGGAGCTAGCTGACTTTGAGTGGCAGGGCAGCATGTGGATATCTGTTCTTTAATGCTGCTTTATCAGGTCTGTTCAAGAGAAATTGAGGTCAAGGCAAAATTCCAAGAGGAGATGAACGAGAGCTTGAAGTATAATCTTTTGTTCTTTCAGGGTTCCCAGGCGCCGAGGGGGCAAATCATACACCTATTTTGTGAATTATTTATATTGATATGAGTAGTAACAATAATACTTCACATTTGTAATTGGATGTTTCAATTTAAAAAGCACTTTCACAGGGATAATGTCCTTTGATCCTCTAGGACTGGTAGGTGGCAGGTAGTCACTGGGTCATTAAAGACAGGATTTGGAGACCTATAAACCTGGATGTGGAGCCAGCTGTGTGACCTTGAACACATTAGCATCCCTCAGTTTCAGCCATCTGTAAAATAGAAACAAGAACATCTGCCATGAAGGGTTATTGTAAAGACAGGTTCATATGGAAACTGTAGGGGTTCAGGACGAGTTACCCCAAGATACAACTCTGTGGTATGTGGATTGTTCGAAGCTAAAGGCAGCCAAGACCATTTGGGCTCAAGAAAAACTTCTCCTCCCCTTAACTCACTAAAAGAATTTGAATTAGAAGCCTTGCCTAATTCATAAAAAAAATAAGAGATTTTCAGAGAAAACCATATTTTGACCCATCTATAGGGCAGGGCAAACTTCTAATTACTGAATCTCTTCTTATCATCCTGCAATGACCTTCCTTCCCTCTGAAGCCCCAAGATGATCCTTAGCTCAGGATGTCATATGTACCTATTTTCCCTTTCTGTCTTTGAACCTCTCATGTATGTAGAGGCTCTGATTCTCATGTACGTGGGGTTCTCTTGGGCACCTATGTATTAAATTTGATTATTTTCTCTTGTTAATCTGTCTCATGTCTATTTGATTATGAGACCAGCCAGAACCGTGAGGGTATAGAAAAGTTTCTTCCTCCCCCATAAAACCAATCCGATTGCGTGGGATACGGTCAGAGCTTAACAAATTGTAATTAATATTATTAATACCTAACAGTTAAATGAGGGGGGTGGAGGTACAAAGTAGCTGGGGCTTGGCCAAGGTTATGCAGGTAGCAAAAACAAACAAACAAACAAACAAACAAACAAACAAACAAACAAACAAAAAACCCCAAAACACCAGCGGGACTGTTATTTAGACTTGGATCTTCTGGTTTCTAAGCTATGTGAGCTTGTTAACATACTTAACTGACAACTTTAAATGTCCCTCCTGTAACCAGAGACTCCAGATTTAGTTCCTTTGCATTCACAGTCTTCCTCAATACAATGACATTATTTTGAGCTCATGATGCATGGGATCAAAATAATGTCACATCAAAAGTGGATTTTATTCAATCTACTTAAGACCTGAGAAATATTATTAATAGCCCTGCTTCACAAAGAGGAGACTGAGGCTTTGGGGTTCAGAAATTTTTCAAAATTACACACAGTAAGTGGCAGAGCCTGAATTTAGCATCAGGTTTTTTTCTGACTCCCATATATTGCTATATTGCTTCTCAAGTTTTCTATGCTGTCCCAGAAACAGCTTGACAGCCATCTTCAACGTTTTCAGTTTTCAGTGCATTGACCTGCAAGATCAAAACTCCAAGATAATATAAACAGGATGTTTTGATGTGCTATATCAAAGTTCATAAATTCTTATAATCCCAAATACATATGTATATTAGTATATTTGTGCATATAACCAACATTAATGCAAGTTTTCCCATTTGGCTTAAAGAGTTAAGTATATTCAGGATATATTGTCCAGGAAGTATTGGTCATCAGAGTATAGTGTGTCAAAAGTATCTCAAAAGTTGATTTTGAAACAGAAGTAATTTATTAAAATAAAATGCACACCGGTGAGATCCCATTTCCCATCCCATCCCCCAGCAAGAGAAATAGTGATATAAACTTTTTTTTTTTTTAAAGATTTTTTATTGGGGAATTGGGGGGATGGGAACAGTGCTGGGGAATTGGGGGAAGGGGAACAGACAAGTTGCTGTCCTTTTGTTCTTCAATCTAGTTGTGGAGGACGTTGCTTCACTGGCCCAAGTTGGCACCATCATTGCGCTCTTCCCGGGCGAGGCAGATCAGTCGCTGGCTTCTGGACGGCTGCTCCGCTGGCTGCTGGCCGCTCACGCTGGCTGCTGGCTACACATGGTAGCCCATGGCAACTCACTGCCACAGGGGCTGCAGCCTACGCCGTTGCCGGTGACTCACGGTAGCCCAGCTCCAGGTTGAGCTGTTGTTCAGCATCTTAGCTGTGGAGGGCAGTGTCACCGGGCCTCACATGTGGGATCCGAACCGGGGCCCTCTGGCATCCCAAGCCAGTTCTTAACCATCGCGCCACTCGGCCGGCCCCTGATATAAACTTTTGAGATGTCAATGGGAATGAAAAAAAAAAGTTTTTCCCTTAATAGGTTGAATAGATGTTTAACTCAGAAGTCCTGCCTTTTTTCCAGAGAGGTGGCTGTAAGGATATAAATAGCACTCTGTGAAAGGCTGTACCTTCATTACTGAGGAAAAAAGGGGAAGGACTTGGCCTGATTTGATGTCCAGTGCAGCCAGTTTAGGCAAATTTACTGATAGTCCATAATGTGCCCATGGATGTCTACAGTGTGGTCATTCCAACCGCACCATAGAAGAGAGGCAAGGGATCTTTTCATTTTACGGTTGAGCTAAGTGAGGCTTTGAGTAGCTTGCAGGGGAGTCACTGGGCAGTTACGGGGCAGAGTCAGGTTTTGAATCTAGGTTTCCTGGTTCCAAGACCATTAACATAGCAGCTGTGAGATTCTTGGTAACTGCTTTCACGTTCTAAATACAAACCTGAAAAACTTTTTTAAAATAAATCGTCTTTTACAATTAAAGCTTCAGACTCAATCACAAAAATCCTTATTGCTTCAGAAAGGCAGTGCTGTTGTGACACTGACAATTGTGGATTTCACCTATTTCATGGCACCTGAAGGAGGAAGCTAACGAAACCTTTGAATCACTTGCAGGGTGCAGTCTGTGATCATTACCTTGAAACAGATGGCCAATTATGCAAAAAACTCTTACAGCTGACATTGTTTTTCCTAAACAACTGAGGGAGTAAATCAGTAAAAAGAAAAAAAAGAAAGGAAATTAATCTTGCCTAAAGGAACAGTTAACTCTTAATATAAGTGCAAAACAATTTTTCAAAAAGTTTAATACATCTTTTAAAATATTTAGGTTATATAAGTGACTTGATCATCTTGAGCCATAATCATAAAATTTGTTGAAGAGGCATCTTGAATAATTGATCACCATAGTTGTTTAGCAAGTAGTTTGTGCCATGACATGTTTCCTTAATTATCTATCATGTGGAAAGATTATAGGAAAAGATGATAATTGAAAGAGCTTTTTTAAGAAATCAGTTTTTTTTTAAAAAAGATTTTTTATTGGGGAAGGGGAATAGCTAAGTTGTTGTCCTTTAATCTTAGTTGTGGAGGGCGCAGCAAGCTCAGCTCCAAGTCCAGTTGCCATCCGGTTGTTTGTCGGCAGCTTGAGGCTGCTCAACTCAGGGTGCTGTGTTCAATCTTAGTTGCGGGTGGGCATAGCCCACCATCCCATGTGGGAATCGAACCAGCAACCTCATTGTTAGGAGCACATGCTCTCACCAGCTGAGCCATCCTGCCACCTGTTGGGGCAGCTCAGCGGCACCTCAGCTCGGATGCAGCTCACTGGCCTGTGTGGGAATTGAATTGGTGACCCTGTTGCTCAGAGCTGGTCTTCTTAATCAACTGAGCCACTCAGTTGGCCCCAAGAAATCAATCTTGTAGTTAGATACTTTACATGTCCAGAAACTGAAAACTCAAGTTTCTTTATAGATTTCAGAAATTATTTCCTTTGACTTGGTTATACTAAATAGTTCATTGAATAAATAGATCAAACAAATTTGGCTCCTTCTCTCTCAATTTATTTGACTACATAAAAGCAGTCAAAGTTAGTGTAGTTGGGAAGCAGAGAGGTAAGAATTGTGATTTTAATTTCAAGCCCTATGTTCAACATAAAATTATGCTGTTATTTCTCTGAAGCCT